ATCGCCCGCTGATTAATAACGGATTGTATATAACAGAATTGTGATGAGCCAGCAATTCATGTGGCTTTGAAGATGAATATATAACGTTTTACATAATGAAATTTTATATTGTCTTAAAAGAACAAAGTTTATCTGAGAAAAGAGCGTTTAGATGTGTAATATCTTGAGATATAATCATAATTTTTTACATATTCTTATTATATAATCTAGTATAACTGACTAATTTGTTAAGTCTTGTAGATTGATATCTTGATACAAGATAAAATATCTGCATTAAATATTAACAGATTCATTAGTACGATTCTAGATTCATTGTGTATTCTACGGTTTCGTGAGTAATGAAAGAAATTTTTCGCCGTGAAATTGAGCTCATATAAATTCTAGAATATGGCGCCAGCTTGTTAAGTAAGTTCTAAAAAAAGATGGAAAAAGAGGTGTCTGTGCAGCTTTCATTCATCTAATACGCGAATCGATCGGTGAGAACTCGTACAGAGTAAAAGGTTTTTGCAACGTGTATTTTCAATATCTCTTTTTACTTTCCCTGCTTTCATGAAACAATAAAAGCTTCTATAGCTGACGTTCTCTTGCGAGGATGGGTTTTTCATTTAGTTGAGTTTCGAAGGAAGAAAGGGATCTCATTTCAGTGCACGGACTCTTTACGCCTTTGGCTGTTCCGGCCTCATGTCTGTAAGATATCTAGCTGTGGATATGCATAATGCGCAAAAGGCTTCTCGAATCTCACACTTCAACTTGTAATTAATTACGCCACAATTAAAAGTTTATAATTATGTCATGAATTCAAATCCGTATATTATATATGTATATATATTTTGAAATAAATGCGATCGCGCAAATTATAATATAATTACATTTTTATTTTTAACGATAATTGGCGAGTGATAATATTTAACTATAATGTTTAATTTAACTTATAATGTATAAGCTGTTCACATTCTTGTGTTAATATTACTATCATATACCTATATATTTTAGCTGATAAAATATATATGTATAAAAAAATAATATCCTATTAAATTTAAAAATGGTTTTGATATATATATGATACTTTTTTTATTATAATGAGTAGTAATAATTATGAATTATTTTAAATCCTTTATGGAATAAACACATTGATTTCGAAATCGATTGTTTTAATATAATTTTGAAATACGCAAACGTCATATACTATATATGAGTATTAATTGCTGTATTATGATTTTTCTTCGTCGCAAAAACCGACTAACGTCATCGATTTTGAAATCAACTGCTTGAAACAATTTTAGTACACATTTTTGAACCAAATGCCGTTTTCCATAAATGTTATTACTAATACTACGATATGTGATAAACATATATTCTGCTCTATATATTAATTATAACAGCTCTTATTAGCTGATTAACTCAATGTTCAAACTGTTACTTGCTTCACATTCGATTATAGAATATTCGATACATGTGATTCGCTATGCTTCGCCGCAGTTTGTATTTCTGCTTGGTGTCACGACAATTCATAAAGGAAGATTAAAAAAAAACAAAAAAATTGCAAAGGATGCTTTCGAATCTGCTTGAATATGCATTCGTGGGCTTTATTATTCTCGCGATAATTTAAGACTAGCCTGATATATTCGTAGAGCGAGTTTATGCGATGCCATTGTCTCGGCGCTGCCGTTATTTATGGGAAGATTTCGTCTTCCAAAAACGGAAGGCCCGCAGCACGGTAAGCCGCGATGCGAATAACAATCGCGCTCTCCTAGCGAGGAGCGGTAATTAAGGATTAGCGAGGTGATTAGTGAACGCCTGGTATTTAAATCTCGATGCAGCGATCTGTGAGCGCGCCGTTGCATCCGCGCGCATTGAGACCAAACAACTGATTATACATAGCCCAACGGTGAAACTTGGTGGAGCAGACGTTCCAATTACCGCTTCTAATTACGCATCGCTCTTCTAATACGTCGGCCAAGTTCAAAACTGTGAGGTGATTAGTGATAAAGAGGCGCGCGTCTCTGTAAGTGAAAAACTTTCGCTTTGCTGAGGCGGAGATGTTCTGTCAGAGGGAATGAGAACATGCCTACTAATGATGCCAATTATATTACGGTTATTAAAAGCAATTGCACGCGAGAAGGAGCGACACAGAAAATTGCTTTCGCTATTTTTCGCCACCGTAATGACGATATTAATTTTTTTTCCATATGTCACATTAATCTCATGCTTATTAGAGCAATCAATACACGTGCATTTACGACCGTTACATTTGACATCAAGGAAGTTATTCAGATACGGTTATTAAAATGTATTTTACGATCGAAACGCGTCACATCTCTTCCCTCCCTTCCTCCTTCCCCTCACCACCCAATTTCCTGATTAATTACTTTTCGTATTAATTATCGTTTAATTACTTTATCAGCACAATGAGTACCGGCAGATCAAGTCATAAATAATTAATTAGAAGAGGATCCACCAAAAAACTGTTAATTAATGACTAAACTTTCGCGTTAGTCCGCTATTGCGAGTCCACGGCACGCTCGCTGGTAGCTGATCTCACAAACTTGTGCGCTGTGTGAAATATATAATCTTCTCGGGTTAGATTTTTCTTCGTTTAAGCCAGAACAATAACGGAGATCTTTCGCAATGTCGCCGATAAGAATTGAAAATTTGCTATAACGACGTAACATACTTTTGCAAGCATTTCTGTATAACGTTTTTTTCAATCATAACATCTTCCTAACATATTTGATATTTTACACCACTAAAAGCCTGCAGCACTTATGTTTTCTGCATGTATATTAATTAAATTATAATAGACTAGTAAATAAAAAAATCAACAAATCTTATATATATATATATATATATATATATATATATATATATATATTTTTTTTTTTTTTTCATACTTATATATATTCTCGACTAAAATTATTTTTTTAAGTTATATAAATAAATTATTTGTTAATCTTGCAAATCTTTATTTTAAAGTAAGTATTTTAAATAAGTACTTTTTACTTTAGAATATTTTTTTTTTTTTTTTTTTTAATTTTATTTTTAATTAATATTTTTATTTGAGCGAATCAATTTTGATAATAAAAATTTTGATTTTAAAAAGATTTTGTTATAATAACGACTTACTTAAAACTCAATGATCTTTCAAATTTTCGATTAATAATGCATGACAGGAGAATGCATAAAGTACACTGAAATAGTAATAAGTTTCAAACTCGATCTAAGCAAGTACGCAATGAATGCTTAAAAGTCGACAGCCGTGATGTTATTTTTCGCGATCTTTACCAGCGTTTTCTGGCAAAATGCCCTTTCGCCAGTTTGCCAGTTGTAATCCTCAGAGTGAACAACGTTGACAGTGGCGGGATTACATGGAAAGTTTAAGCACTTGTTCGTTTAAGTTATTATAAGATAAGCATCGCGTAACTTATTTTTTTTAGAAATAAAATAGAAGTAGCCTTTAGTGCGCCTAACTTTACTTTTGGAGTATGTAGTTGATTTCGTATAATTTGTCTTATTTAATTCGCATTTTTAAAATACAACTTTTCGACATAATAACTATAAATTTATGTAACGAATATAATCTGTTAATATATTTCGAGCATATAATTCAGAAAGTAATCAATAGACGAGCTATAAATAACGATAACTATTGTCTTATTATGTCATCATGCAAAATGAGTAAATTGTTAATTAACTAGCAATATATTTCTCTTCTTATTACAGAATAATTGTGATAAAAAAAACATTCTGTCTCAGATCATATATTTTAGTAATAGATTTTGATGTTATCATTAAATAATTGAAGCTACATAAAAATCAAAGATGTGAAGAGGATTAAAATTCCTCTGTAATATTTATTCTGAACACATAACACATATTTATAATTAAGTTTCTGTTTATTAGTGAAAAAAATAACTATACCACCGAGATATGACAGAATATTGTCGTCTGAATTGGATTGACTTCTCTTCACTGGATTATTTTTCGAGCAATTTATGACAAAGAATGCGTATTTGATAATAAATGTCATTGACTTCAATTGAAATTCTAAAGAAGAGTTAAGCATTCAATGTTGTATAGAATATATATAATAGCTATATGAAAAATTATGACCTTTAAAAAAAAAGTGTGACAGGTATCCATTTATATTTAAACAAGATCTAAGTGATAAGTTTGTGTGTGTGTGCGTGTGTGTGTGTATGTGTGTAATTAATTTTAATGACAGATATTTTGACTGATTTACATTTGAGATTTTTCTTAATAAATACATTAAAATATTAGCAGTGTTCAAATCTTATACAATTAAATTAAATTCATTTTTTGCGAATATAAAGATTTAAGAAAGAAAGAGAGAAAGAAAGAAAGAAAGAGATTAAATAAGTAGAACAAAAATTATTGTCCTTTATTTATTTTAATTTTAATTTTCAGATTTTTCTTTTTAAAAAATATTCTAAATATTTATTTTTCTATTTATACAATATTTAAGATATTTTTTGATTAATTAGTGAAAAAAGTAATTATATCCGAAATATAAAGATATTTAATTTTAAAAATTAAGCAATTGAGAAATGCAAGTTTATCGAAATACCTGTTAATAAAACATTTGTTCACGTTCGTGTATATACCCTGTACATATATGCCTGGAAATATGTTATATGTTTTCATAAAATTACTGAAACTTTTACGCATAAGTTAAAATGTATATGATAATATCAAACAAATTTATATTTGATGATTTCTTTACTTTTTTATATAGTTTTTATACAACATACTCTGCGTATAACTATTAACAGTCATCTTATTAAACATCAAAATAAAATAGTTACAGAATGTATTATAATAAATACGTAAGAGAATTTTTAGATGATAAGGAAAATTACAGAGAAAGAGAGAGAGAGAGAGAAATAATTACTTTAAAATAGTTACTCAATATATATCCGCACAATTTTTAATATTTAAATAATTAATTGAAACAATCGCAATCTGTTTCCTATTATTTCTAGGCGTTCGTGGACTACGTAATATATCGATCGACATTCCATTGGCAGTGGCAGCTGGTACAACAGTCAACATGTCCTGCAGATACGATCTACAATCGGACACTCTTTACACTGTCAAATGGTATAAAGGCTCAGAATTTTTTCGTTATGTTCCCAAGGAGATGCCACCGATTGCAGTATTTGGAGAACTTGGAGCAAAAGTTATAGTAAGTAATTATTGTTAAATAATTACCGTAATAAGTAATTAATATTAAATAAAAGATTTCAATAGACAGATTTGTAAAATTTTATATCATTTTATATCATTTTATCTAAAAAATAGATAAATCTTTTTCAAATAAATACTTATTGATATTTAATTAATAATATGTCGATCAATCTAAATTTCAGACACTTTTCAAAAATTTTGTAATTATAAAGTTTTTATAAATTATTTTACAGAACTATAACAATTATATATAATATAAATATATTTTTTAATCATTTTAAAAATTAATAGTTTTTGTCTGCATGCAATATATATTCAATTCTTTTCTTTCTATGTTCATTCATAATAAAATTGATAAAATAGGATCATTTCTGTAAATCGCTTCATGTTTTGACTATTTTCTAATTAGAATCATGTTCTTAATTTCACTAGTTTGGCACATGCAATCGGATTATTTTAACTGCAAACTTCATTATAATACGTTGTATCTATTAAAAGTTGGCTCTTATTTGTTAGCGAATTAAGTTTCTGACATGTCAATTTTAAAGTCGTGCAAAAGATAATCTAAAACTCATATTTAAATTCAAACTAGTTTCAAAATTTGCTAACAATTTATTTTCCCTTACATATATCTTTGTGCAAGCTGTCTTATTAATTTATTTTTATTTATTTTATATTTTTATGTTTTATATTTTATGTTTTATCATATTAGAATTAATATTTATTATAATATTTTCTTAAATGGAACAGAATAAAAAATATTTTATTTGTGGGAAAAAATTTATTTCTAATTATTTATAATTTAAAAAATATATTGATATCTTTACATTTTTATTCTATAAAAATCAATTCCAAATTAATAAAAAAAATGCACTTTTAAATTTCACGTTCTAATATCAGAGATATTTTATGTAACATATAATTATAAAATTTATAAATTTATTCTTATCATATTCTTGCGTCACGTTTTTAATTTAAAAATGTTGTTTCAACATATTTTAAACGGTAAAACAACAATTCCCCTTTGCCCTCAATATCGGTGAAACGAAATGGCATTCACGTCATAACATGCGCAAAACGTATGGCAGATTGCGTTCTATATATATATGCAGACGAATATTTGCAGCGCATATCTGGCATGCATGAAAAAGAAATAGTCATTGCTTGGCGGAAATTTGAAAGTCTATATAAAAATATATAAACCCACAATTAAAAAAGGAACGTATATTGTATATATATGTTCAATTATCAAAATTTTATATTTCGTTAGATGTTCTCTCCCCAATCGCGTAGAAAAACATAAGCTGATATTTTTATTTAATAAAGCATTATAAATTTATCTATAATTAATTGTTTAAACATTTTATTGTGCTTAAAAATATTTTAAGATACAACAAATGATATTTTTATATAATAAAATAATGAGTTTTTAGTGCATAGTGATATTGGCGAATCGCAGAGCCATTTGTTTTTCCTTCCTAACATGTTTTAATGTTTCACTGTTCAATATTTGAAATCCGTTAGCGCGATGATTTATTCCGGAAGAAAACGCACTACATCCTTTTTCCGTATAGCTTTGCTATCGCAACAAGCAAATATGAAATACATTTATTTCTTGTAGGTACTATGAGCAAATATACTTCCGAAATTCACATTTCACATTCAGAATAGAAAAATTATATTTTTAAAATAAAAACATTTATGTGTGATATTTCGTTTCGACTTGGATCGTTGTAATTTGTGATAGAAATTAATTCGATAAAATAGGCACAGCAAATATGTTACATCATATGTTATTACATCAAAGAAGCATGCCGTGTAGTACCAATTAAATTAAATTATTATATACTTGAAATAACAATTTGTGTGTAATGTCACATTGCTCATTCGACGACGGAAATTATGATCGATGTCCGTTTTGCGCTTTAATAATTTACACGAGGCATATTAGCATACATTTGCGCAAAATATATTTTTACGATGTAGCTTTCTAATGTACGTTAGAAATATAGAAACACCATAATGCATATATGCATATATGTAATTATATGCATATTATACTGATGTAGATAATAACTCTAATATTTAACAAAAAGCGAATATAAATTAAGAGAACAAAATTTTGTCAATGACGTTTTTAATCTTAAGTTTTATCGCGCGTGATTTGCTTTTATCAAAATTTCGTTAGCTAATTAATAATTTAGTAATTTAATCATTTAAATCAAAGTAATCGCTTTCTCACGTTTTAACTTGTTATTAGAAATGAGAATTATATAGTATATACGAATGGAACAATACATTCACATTTTGCCTTGCAATCTAGGGGGTATAAAATGTCAATCAACCATTATCATTGCGTTTTGGATGTAACAATATCGTATACATAGATGCATACAAAGCTCGCGTGATAAATCAAACATGATAAATTTCAATATTATTTTGAAAACGGGTCGGTTACGTGCTCTGGTTTCTGAATGATCCCTTTACCTCGCTTTTATTAATGCAAAAGATATTACTTCCGCTAACCAACACTGTTTGCTACAGCAAAGCTTAGTAATCTGCATTTCATTACCGCGCATTTGTATAAAAAAGTTATATGAAAGTTCATCCTTATAATGCTAAATAGAAAATTCAATAATTTATATAGTAATAATAACACATTACAATTTATATACATACATACATAATACACACACACATACATTACATATATATATATATATATATATATATATATATATATATATGCATGAAATTTATAGCAAGTTGAAATTTTTTTTAATGAAATTATTTTACAAATTTTCCCAAAAGAAATATCTTTATTTTAATATGGCATTTCAAAGCAATATTAAATTTATTACAACATGACGAATTTATTACAATTTTGGTATTTCGTCACAATTGATTACAAGCCATTATTTCTTTAGAGAAAGAAACGAGAACAGAAGAATTCAATTCGTGCACTATGCGATATTTTGAACTATGTACATACTTGTATGTATGCGTCGTGAGCGAAAAAAAACAGTAGTGCTGGCAGAATTAATGTTTTCGGAACGAATTAAAAAAGCTGTTAAAAGAGAGCTTTAGCCAAGCTAAACTAAAGCACAGTTAACAGCTTTATTCAATCCAAATTAAAGCAAAAGTAAAGCATTTACACAGTCTCTCAAAATATTCTAGCTTTAATTCCAGCTTACTATTGCAACTTTAATGTAATTTTCTTTTGTTTTAACATCAAGAAAAATGATTATGCAGCTTTTATTAAATTTTTAATTTGTAAAAATATAATAAACTTCTCTTTCTCTCTTCATAACTTATTATTAAAAAAAACATATATATTTTTAATTAGTTTGATTATAGCATTTTCATTACAAGAAATTTGTTTTCATTTTTAAAACATTTTTAATGCACAATTAAATAATGCGATCGATTGTGGAGATTTTTCTGTACCCTTTAACGCGACATTTAAAGCAATTTAAACAATAAATTTATCGCGCACGCGGAAAATTGTGCAAGTATATGTAGAAATCCAATTTATTACACAATAATCGAGCTACACAAGACATACATGCATGTAGCCATCGCAGATAAAAATAACGGTTGAAAAATCAATGTTTTTGAGGCCCAATTGAAAGAGAGAAAGGAAAAAAAACAACTAAATCTTTTGTGCGGCCACGCGGTTTCCGCGATAGCCGGCGCAAGCTCGGTCAACGAAGCGTTTTCGTGCACGCAATGGTTTCCCAATTAGATTTTACCGGCGGAAAGTACAGACAACACTTTGGCCAATAAATTGCAATGCACTCCCCGCGGGGGACAGAAATATAGCGCGAGAATTGTGGCTGCGCGACCGCGGATGCGAGGGGATTACGAATATAAAACAGAAGGGAAGCGCGGCAGGAGAACAGTACATAGAAATAGGCACAGAGAATACCGTTTCGTATTTCGCGAGAGAGTAACAATATTAATTTCGCCGACCGAGTTCGATAAATTCATGCGTGAGCGTATCAGACCGAGCATTGTTGAATCGCTATATTATGTAATCCGGGCGTAGAGTAAAACGATACCGCCGTTGTTGCCTTTATACGCATGAGCGTGCCAGTTGATCTCCGATCGGGATATGTCCGGTCGTTATTCTGATTTTCAAGATAAACACGTAGCGAATATGCAAAAAGATCGATTATTTCATTAAGTGATAACTATTGTGTATAAATGACTCTTGAATGAATGTAACGAAATAAAAATATTATAATTAACTAGTCTTTTTCCTCTTGAATATCATTTAAATCAATCAATATAATATAAAGATCCATATACCGTACAATATACCGTACAAAAAATAAAAAATAACTCATTAAGTAATTCACTCACTGATATGATACGTAGCAGCGTAATGTAATGACACGTTAACCTGCAAAATATAAATATATAATTCACAAATTAAAGAATAAATATATACACATAATTTTAATTATAATATAAATTAATATAAATATATAACTCAAATTATAAATATTAAATACATAAATATATAATTCAATTAATATAAATATAAATATATATATATATATATATATATATATATATATATAATTCAAATTAAAATAGCATAAAATATAATAATAATATTAAGAAAATAATTATTACGATACAATAATTTTTTCATTTTTCTTATAAATAAATATTTAATAATATATAAATAATAATATGCAATTTCCGTAAAAGTTTTTTTTTACCTTAAAAGCATAAATACGTTTACAAAAAATTGACAAATTGAAAAATTGAATTATTTTGAGATATATAATCAAATGTGTCTGTCAAAGGAATATGCGGTGATATTGATTTCGCGCAAACATATAATAAATAATAAATAAACAATAAATTACCTCGTGATTGCCGTCGCCCGATCTTTCCCTGGCGTCCTTCTTCTTCTTCCTTGTTTTTCTATTGCTGCTGCTTTGTGGCACTGCCGTAACAGTCTCCCGCGAAAATAAGGTTAATCATGGTCGCGCGCGCACTAATTACCAAAACACAACGCTAGCGCGGCACTTTGCACTCTCGACGTCACTCGCACACACACGTATATACATGTATATACGCGTATGTATACATAGATGCACGCAACGCGCGTACTTTATTACGTATGAAGGAATAATGTGAAAAAAATGCGATCGTATGAAACTCTACTCGCGACTTTTATATTTAGCGTGATAGACGAATTTGAGAGGATCTAGAGAGAATGGAGGAAAATCACACGGGAAAACTTTACGCGCCATTTGTCGCGGCGACGTGTTGCTCCTACCTGCACTTTTCCGTACTTTGAGTAATCTTATCCCATTGTGTATTTTTCGCGTTTTAAATAACAAATATCACCCGCTCGTGTTTTCGCGTTAGGCAATTCCTATCTCGTGTAATCTGAAAATAAATACATACACACACGAGTTAAAAATCAATATAACCTCGAATCGCGTCGCTTTGCTGACTGCTAGCGATCGATTTCGATGGAATAAATCTCACGAAATACGTTTTAATAAATCATCAATGTATACGACAATCGAAGTTATAACACAGAATTATAACAGGTATCAAAACAAAAAGACTGCTAACGTTGTACTTACTAATTAAATACTTTGCGACGTCGCTTGACTCGAAGTTGAACCGTTCTGTATATCCGGCATTCCGTTAATGATCGAAAACTTCGAGAACATGCCGCCAACTTCACTTTGATACCGCGCGAGTCAAGTTAGTATAATTGTTATTAAAACGCGGTAAAATTGAAAATACATTGACGTCAAATTTATATTACATGTGTGTTTTGAATATATAAATATATAAATATATATATGATTAAAATTATAAATGGACATTCATATTATTAATAAATGTTTTTTTATAAATCGCTTATCTAATTTAAATTATAATATATATAATATATATATAATTATAATAAGAACAAGTTTTATATATATATATATATATATATATATATATATATATATAAAACTTGTTCTTATTATAATTATATATATATAACTATATATATATATATATATATATATATATATATATATAGTTATACTATATATATATATATATATATATATATATAGTATAACTATATATATAGTATAACTATATATAAGTATAACTATATATAGTATAACTATATATATATATATATATATATATATATATATAAGTTTTGTATATATATATATATATATATATATGAAACTTGATGATTTATAAAAAAACATTTATTAATAATATGAATGTGTGTGTATATTACTTTTCCCCCAATTTAGAAATAACGAACAAGTTAGAAGAGAGAGGATGAAAAGTTTAAAGTGTGATACGATATGAAAAAGGTAATTTGTTATTCATCATCTCTATTCCTGCCTCGTAAATAGACATCGTTTACGAATCATTAATTGCGCTGGATTAATTGCGCGGACTAATAATCGTTAATTGTTAAAGAATAATTACGTTCGATGTCTCTTCATTCTTATTGCGATTGTATCTCGAACAGCAATGACACATTTGCCTGTTTCGAGCCTCGTCATGTAATTGGCAACAAAGTTACAATATGTAAACAACAGATCGTTATATATGAAAACTGAGCGCTGAATGCTATAAATACATAAATCTAAAATTTATGTAATACGTAAAAGTACTCTATGTAATACGCGTTTTGAATATATAAATTTTGCAAGCACACATAATTAATAAACACACATTATTAATAAATAGTTTTTCATAAATTACTTAATCCGATGTAATATATATGTATATATACATATAATATATATTATTTCTTTCAGTTTAGAAATAATAATTTTATCAGATAATATACATAATACGTTTTAAATATAAATATATAAATTCAGTCAACTCTTATACATGATTAATAAATACTTCCTTATAAATTGCTTAATCTAGCTTAATACATATGTATATCATTGTCTTCTCAATCTACAAATAATTATTTTATCATGCTAAAACATTTAAAATATATAAAACAATATACATATTTTTAAAAATATTATTAAAATATAATTATCATATAAATACGATTAATAAAAATGATCATTTATAATTTATTTTTCCTGCCATTTCAATTTCTGCTTCGTAAGTAGTCATGGATACGTTTACAAGTCATTAATGGCGATTGATTAATCGGGCTCGTTGATTATTGAAGGATAATTGCGTTTGACATCTCTCCGCATTTAACGCAATCACATCTCAAACAGTTATAAATCATTACTAGTCATTACACGAAATGCCTGACGCCACTGGTCATTTCCTTGTCGCGTAATTGACAAGGTTATGATATTGATAAACAACAGTAGACTATTATTTATGAAAAATGTTGAGCGCCATATATGTCACATATATAAAAGGTTCACAAAAATAATATGAATATGAAAGTATTATAAGTAGTATTTAACATTCTCTATGAAAAATAAACACATGTCTTCTAAATATAATATTTTATTATTATAAAAGAAAAATATTTAAAATTGGCAAAATATTTTTGGTATTTTATATCATTTTAATGTCAAAATGCTTACTGTTAGATACGGTTAATAATCTAAAACTCTAGAAAAACTCGCTCATTTGAGAAATGATAAAAATTATCTTCTTTTAAAAAAGCAGACAGATGTTTTTATGATAATGAAAAAATATTTTATATTTTTCGTGTACACGCACATTTCGATAATAGTTATTCATAAACATAGTTATTAATAAATCATGATATATCATGATGTATCACGGTTTCTTATTATCTATTAGATTATTTAAATTAATTTATGTATATAAAAGATAAAATTTATCTAAATTATCATCATATCCGTCTTCTAATAACTACTAGGAATATAATTAAATTATGACAACAGTATTGACAGATTTTCTGCTCTTTCTTTTAAAAACACTATCCCTCTGTAGAAGAGTTAAAGATAACTTTAGAGATTATTGTTTTCGCAATGATACCGTCGTTTATCCATAATATAGCATATGAGCGTGTCGGTGTCACAAGCACGAAGCAAACCACAGCAAAATTAATTGTGTGATTTATACGCTGCCACCAGCAATATACAATTAATCCCTGTTGCGAGATATTGTTTGTCGCGGACGAGCGAACGCGTGAGGACGAGTAAGTGCGATCGATTTGCAATAAATGGCACTCGCCGGTTCTATGCACTCGGTCAATTCTGTGGTCGATGCTAAATTAACTCAAAATTCAGTAGGCGTCCACCGGTAGTATCATTGACGGTCATTTATAGCGGAATAAAATATGTAATTTATCCATCCGTACACATACACATACAGTTTGAGCTTTTTTTCATGCTAGCTTGCATGAAAGTACTCTGAAAAGAGAGTTATTAATCTTGATTTTTTTAATAACACACACACACACACACACACACACACACATATATATATATATATATATATATATATATATATATATATAATTTTGCTACGACGAAATATCATCACAAAAAACATCATCTTTATAGTTGCGATATCGGTATAACGATGAAATATTGCGAACTATATTATGAGAATGACTAGTGTAATTATGTAATTTATCTTCCTAGAGCTAGATATTGTAAGGAAAATAAAAAGCATTATTATTAGTACGGTTTTTAAAAGTCTTTTAAGATTTATTAAAAGCTTTAAAAAAGGTTACTGAAATTTATCTTTAAACAATAATTATAAAAAAATCTGTTTGTGTATGTGCAATTATTTATGTAAAGTAATAATAACATTTTGTTTTATTTATGTAAATTCATATAAAAATATGTATATAAGTTTTTTATAATATTCATAATTATTACAAAATCGTAAATGTATTTTATTCATAAATGTATTTTATTGACCATATTTGATGAAGTAAAACAATAAATGCGTAAGATCATAATAAATGGTAATATCAAATGGTACGAGGTAATAATAATAAATTTATGACATGAAAATAAATAAAACATTCTCTCGAATGAGAGAATTGAAGTAAATTGAGTAAAGCGTATATATATCATTTGTTGAAACGTTTTGATTTAATATAATTTAAAATATATATCATATGCAACATACATATTTACGACAATATTTTGCATAATATAACTTTAATAACATAAATTTTATAATTGCAGGATTTTGTTGATTATTGCATATTTAGCGATAGTATTTTATCGTAAACATACATATTTTATCTTTTATGGATATGATATTTCTGTCATCATAAGTATAATACATATGAATTATATTTCAGATAAATCAAAGCAATGCACATCAAGTAGTATTGAAGGATGTACAACCCAATCATACTGGCAAATATCGTTGCGAAGTCTCCGGAGATTCTCCCTCGTTTACTACCCTAATGGTTTATAGTTACATGCACGTAGCAAGTGAGTATATTGAGAAAAACGTATTTTGTACATCTAAATAAAAATATGATAAAAGACGCACATATCTAATACATATAATTAAAGGAACAAAAATTTAAAGTAATCATATTATATATTTATGAATAATAAAATGTAACAATATAGTAATATATTGCACAATAATAATTTTTTTATAATATATAATAAAATAATCAACTTAATTGATTAATAAAGCTTTTAATCAAATAATATTGCAGCATTGATAAAAAATACATGAGGTAAATTTAAGAAAATATGCAATTTTAGAATACTTATATATATATATATATATATATATATATATATATATATATACATACAGTATGTATGTATATGTATATATATATATATATATATATATATACATACATATGATTTATGTATCTAAAAAACAGTGGATAGAAACTTTAAACAAAATTTTATTAAAAAATCGTGAGTAAAAATATAATTAAAAATGGATTTTTTATTTTTTTATTTTGTTTTCACACACACACACACACACACACACACATATATATATATATGATCTGTGGCAAGTGAATGAATGCATTTCGCAATATCGAATTTTTGTATCGCACAACATAAACAAATTAAATTCGGGTATACTCTTCTTGTTTGTATATATTTTCTGCAATATTTTTGCAACGAGCTTTTTGCAATTTTGTGCGTTTGTATACAAACGTAATCTTACTTCAAAAAAATGCAATAGCAACATAACACAATAATATTTTTATTCAGTCACTTACAGCAATTTTTACTTATTGAATTAACATTTATTGGCTGCATAAATTAGCCTTATGCTTTAAGAAATTTACAATAGTAATAAATTAATTTTATTAATAATAGTAATAGTAATTTATGATGTAATATGTGTGGATCTAATAGTTTTTATTAATCTATAAATCTCTCATTAATTCTGAACATTATAAGTTTATAATGTTAATAATAAGATTGTTAAATTTCGAACTTTATTACATAATTTATCAGTCTTAAAAGAAAAATATTTAAGAAATAGTTTTTTATTTTATAAAATTATAGACAAGATATAGTTTATGTCTATTTTCAATTATATACTGGTATTCTGTCACAGAGAAAACTATAATGTTAGATAGCTTTTTAGCAGCTGCTTACAAGATGACAAAAAGCTGGCGTTATTAGCCTTGATAACAGCGCGCAATAAACCTGTCTGCAAGACAGAATTTTTCGATTGGCGATGCTTATTGAATTCTGCGCCCATCCTATCTTCTATACGTTCGAGCTGAAAAAGCGTGACAGCCGCCATTAATTGCGCCATTTAACGCCATCAAAGCGTTAAATGGATATATCGTTAATTTATAACTACTATTCTATCGGCTAAATGTTATTTCGGTGAGCGCGCACGATCGTTTCGTATAATTCATGTTCGTAACGCGAATAATTGCTGGGACCAATCTGCTGCGAAACAGAGCTTTTTGCGACGTCCTTCATGTATTATATAAGTGACACCTATTCCACGAGCTGTATAGGAATGCATTGTTAAAATTCAATTCAAAAAACATTTATCATCTCGTTCGAGGGCAGCTAACGGCGGCTAACAGAAGAGAGGAAACAAGGAACGAACCGGGGTATGCGAGGGTTCGTGATGAATCGCGGATTTGGTCGTGACCCGTTAAACTTTTTTCGGACACTTTTACCCACGACTATTCTCCTCGTGCGCTGCCGGATACGCTCTTTCTGTCTCTCCTGCGGCGCGTCTTTCGCGCGAGCGTCTTTCATTATCGTCGTTGATTATCCTACATGGTGACTAGTATTGTCACCGTAATCGCGCCCAATTAAAACGCAGTTAGGCGAGGAGAGAGAAGAAGATCGTAGAAAGGACAGAGGTGACGGCAACCGTAGAAAGAAAGAAGACTGAAGAAGAGAAGGTCTTGTTCCCACCGTTCCCCTTACCACCTCTGCTGCACCATCATCGTGCGTCGACCTAACGATGCCACAAACACGGTAGCGATCCTCCTTTGAAAAGACAAGGTGATTGTCTCTTCTTTCTGATCACGGATCGCTCGTAAAAGTTCGATACTATGTGTGGATCGAGAACTCGAATCTCGCATTCTATCTCCCTCCGTTCCCTATTGCTAAGGAACAATCAACGAGCACATCGCGTCACTTGTTCCTTTTTCGCGTTTCTCACGAGGCCAGTCGCGATTATCCCGTTCCTTACATTGAAAATGGTAATATTCCTCGTGTCCTTGAAACTACTTGCGGAGAAGCTAAGATCGCGAGAAAGGAGCGGCCCGAGGCGGAAATTGTTGGCGGAGAAGTGAGACAATTCCTTGACAGTTTACCGGATCGCCACCATGGCTGCCTACCGGCGAGGAGGGATCGATCACCTTTTATGGATGTTATAATGATCTCCGACAAGATACATTATACATACATACATACATACATATATAACATACATATATAACATACATATATAAAATATATAAAATATATTATATATACATTACAATATATATATATATATATATATATATATATATATATAGTGTAATGTATATATAATATATTCTATACATATAAAGAGAGTAATCGAAAGATTTTTTTATTTTATCAATATAAAAATGAATAACTATTATTCTAATAGAAAATAATAATAATATTTATATGACATACGGGGGTAATTTTTTTATATAATTATCATTAATAATTGAAATTGATATTAAAATTCAACAAATAAAAATTTAGCAAAAAGAATTCAGCAAAAACATTGTATACTATTTACCAATAAGCATATTATATCACAGATATATCATATCTATAACTATACAATCTCAAACTGATACACGGTATATCTCTTGCAAAGATTTCTGCTATATTGTTCGATTGTCGAGATCATGAAGCAGTGCAAGAAATGTTGCGATTCCTGTGTGGCATGCTTTTTGATAGCGCGAACAATGAACCTGATCAAACTATCAAGGCGCTTGTGCGGTACCAAGATTGTTTTTATAATTGGCAAGAAGCGAAGGAATCAGACGTAACAATAGCCGAGATCGTGTCCGTTACTCTTATAACAAAAACCATATTCGATCACCAATCGCATTCAATTGTTGCTGTAAAATACTTTGGATTTCAGGTCTGCCAGACGGCGATCCTCAGCTGCTGGTCGAGAAAACGCGATATGCAGTCGGTGACACTGTACGTGGAAACTGCACAGTACCATCGGGAAATCCTCCGGCTAATGTGACATGGACTGTCAATGGGATACCGGTAGGTTGATAAATGTGAAGAAGGGATCTTCCTGTATCGTTCTTGTTCTATTTCATGACAAATTATAATACATAAATATTAATTTAGCCTGTATCTTATTCCTGTTCATTCGCCAAGTAATTAAATTTCTCTCGTATAATTTGTTAAATTTATAAATTTATAAAAATATTCTCAACAAAAATAATCAAATTTTCAAGTGATAATCATTATAATCACTACCATTTCTAAGGGTGAATAATGAAAATAAATTATATTTAATTATATTGTATATGTGACATATGTAATATATAAACATATACAGCTAAATCTGAAATAAAAAAGAACTCTCTGATCTCACTTCGATCATTTGATATTCTTCAGGAAGCGTCGAATTCAAAAATACTCATGTTTATTAACTCCATCCAATAGACCATTCAGTTGACTATAGCAGTTGATAATAACGATTTAAAGTATGCTATTATTTTGTCTACTTGATATTTCACTTTGTGGTCTTTTGTTTCTTTCTATGCTTGTCATTGCCTCTGATGACAACGTCGTTGCCGCATCGGTTTGAAAAGTTCTTCCAACGTCTGATTCCAACTTGTTTATTTCACTGACTCCAGCATCGCATTTACAAATGCCATTCTAATGCGAAACATCCTTAATAGTTGTCATATTTTTATACATTTCTGACGTATAAATATATTTTGCATTAAGATCATTTTGTTACCTGAAATTCTGCATATGCCTGTTTAGATTCTAATTTTTTTCGTTTAATTATTTTTTATAGAATATGTAATTATGAGAAAAAAACTAAATTTCTACAAATATACAATGAAAGATTATCATAAGCGATAACATTAAAAAAATAAAACATTCTTTTAATTCAAACATTTCACCATTATTTTTTTATATATTTTTAATTATTGTAGAATGATCATGATTGCCGAACAAATTTGTATGTATTTGTTTTTATTATATATATTTTTTATAAAATTCTATGTCTTATCGATTTTCTTTTTGTTTTGCTTATCAAAGAGAATATCCACATTTATATATATATATATATATATATATATATATATATATATATATATAATCCTGATACATTAGCTTTAATAATTAGGATAGAGTATAAATTGATGTTAAGATCATAAATTTCTTCATTACAAGAAATCTATGATCTTTTCATTAGAATGTATGTGATTAGTTAATATATTGATTTGCGTAGCATATTATAAATAGAAAAAAAGATTATATCTCGGCATCAAATTTATATTCTATCCTAATTATTACAGCTAATTTAATTTTTTACTTTGTGGCGATTATGTAGAAACATATTTGAAAGCTATATGTTGATATACTAAAAAAAAATGACAGCTTTCCTATCCAAGTATATAAATAATTTTCTAATGAAAAAGAGAATTTCTTAATCACTTTCTCCGTTTGTACACATTATCGGCATTTATATTTGTAAAAGAGGATCTGCAGCATTTTTTTCAGAAAATGATGCATATAAATTGCCATAAAAACATACTTGTCTATCATTAAAATACCAACAGTTCAGAAATTGAACAATTTCTTTTCTCCCTTTTTTTTTTGCTTCGCGTGCATGTAGAAATTTAATCGCTCTCGGAAAGCAATGGGAAGATTCTGCCTTCCCATTAAAGGAAATTGCTTATACGTGATCGACTGCATTAAGCGTTAAGTGTAACGTCGCGGACGATCTTCGCGACGAGCTCAGCTTGTCAGCCTTAGAAGCCCCAGAGGCAGAACAACACGTGTTCTCGTGCGTGAATGTAGTTTGAGAGGCGAACGAGAGAGATGCGTGGAAATCGCGTTTCATGGAAACAACAGGAAACGCGACATCAATTTACGACGATGTCATATAGACAACATCGGGGGTTGAGAAAATTGGTGAAATCATATTCGTCTACGAGACATTATGCGTGCGAATATATACGAGACAATACAGAAAATAATCTTTTTGTTCTTGCGGATCATCTTGTTGTCAATATCGACACACACTGGATAAATTTCGTTTAATCCAGAATTCTCACTTCGGGTAAGCTGAGACGCTTTACGAGTATCTTAAGAATCCGATAAACATTATCGTTTATCGGCCGTATGCACCGCAAATCAAATTATTTACGGCTGCTAAGACGCATTATCGCGTAAATGAGTGGAAGCAATTAAGAATGAGCTGGTACCTCGTCGTCGCTCCATTCTGTTCTTCCGCGAGCTTCAATCATCGTTGAGATAAAGATGCCTATTTACTCTAATTTACTATGTGTGTTTTCTCGGTTAATTAATTTATTAGGAGACCGCTCGTCTTAATGACTAATCAGTAAAACTGTAAGCATTTAGAAATGAAAGCGTCATATTAGATCTCTATTAGATGATTTAATTCTGACATAATAATAAAATTGGGTCATTTATGAGAAACGGAGTATCTTTAGATATATGTATTCTTAATTTAGTTGCAATAAGCAGCTTAATTGTACAGTAACTGCCATAAATGTCTATCGCATAAAGCTGTAATTAATTTCTTGTAAATCATCATGATCTCTTAATGTATCTTTATTATGCTTAAAGAAATTTACAAGTAGTGCGTATTATCGTTGAGCTGATAATTGACGAGTGAATGGAAATTGACAATTATATAACTTGTGTATTTACAATATCTTACTGTGCTCTATTTAGCAAAAAACATTTTGTCTAGATTTTATACATAAATAAGAAAGCTAAGATTTATACATATAAAAGCTAGATTTTATAGGTATATAAGGAATGTAAAAACTATATTATATGCGTTCACATCTATTTAAATTGAAATTAAATTGAAATTTAAAAAAATAAGAAGAAAAAGAGAAATAAAATAAATCTTTAAAACTATATGTATCTATACCTAATAATATGTATAATGCTTATATATATATTTTTTTTATTGCAGGTAAATTCGAGTTTTGTCATGAATATCACGATCAAAGTTGGTGACAATCAACAACAAATGACGATTGCTGGATTGGATTTCGAAACAATGCAAGATAATTTTAGCAACAGCAGATTACACATTGTTTGTCACGCTAATGTCTTTCATCTGTATCAAAAAGAGGCTGATGTATTTCTGAAAGAAGAACGTCCCAGATTGGCTTCTGTATTAGGAACACGAGAATCTTCCTACACTGGTAGGTATATGTGTATGTGTGCGTATAACTTATCTTTCTATTATCTTATATACAAATATAATAAATTTAAAGAAATATGAAAAATGTATATATTCCAAAAATAAAATTTTAATATATATTTTTCTACATAACAAAATGTAAATATTGTGTAAAATATTTGATGTACATATTTTTTTCCTTTTACTTCTCTTTTTTGAAAAGAAAACATTAATTTTGATCATTTAATTTATTCATACATTATATCTTTTTCATTGCAGGTAATGCAGCCAAAAAATCTGTAGAATACTTTTACATCACTGCCATAACTACACTATTACTATGCAGTTTGAGATAACATCAATAAAGTCCACAATACGTTTTACGCGCATGATTGTATCGAGAAGAAAGGAGTAAATCGTTTGTAAAATTTTGAAATTATTAACTGGAATAAAATCTGAGAAGAGAAATCTTTTGTTGAAATAAATACCGAGAGTATGTTATTCGTGTAAATAGGATAAATAAGAATTTAGTGAATTCTATGTGTATGCGATCTGAATCTGCCTTTCGGGCGAATTTGTAATCCAATAAATATAACATGTCATGTTATTATATAATAGATCGACGAAGTTTTGCGCCAAACGACTTGTTTAAAAAGACATTGTACTGCCATACATTGCACTACTTGATGTGTCAACGACTTATTTAAAAATTGTACTGCCTACACATTGTACTGCCTCTTTTCTATTCTCTAACAATGATTTTGATACCTCCTCTATAACATTGTAGTCAACACAATGTGTCTTGTTTATAGCTAAACATTGTTATTGTTTATAAATAACATTTTATTTCAATGAAGTATGAATAAATAATTCACCTTCGTTATTTTAATTCTCAATATTAACCTGAATCTCCTTTAATATATCTCCCTTAATTTCAACACAAAAAGCTATTAATTATTTAGCAATTAATAGTTTTTAAATGACTAATATCTAGATCTCATAAAAACAATTATTAGTTATTAAAAATAGTTAAGAAAATATATTAGTTAAGAAAAATCTTCTTAATAAAGAATATATTCTAATTTACTCTAACAAATAAATAACTGAATAAATACATATTACATATTTCTATAAATACATAGCTACAATAAATATGTAAACATATTTTTGCATAAAAATTCATTGTATTGATTTATTAAATAGATAAGATCGAATAAATGAAATATGACAAGGTGATATCACAAAATAAATACACCTTGATTGCGCTAAATGAAACCATCTTATTACTATTATACATGAAATCAGTTATTACTATTGTGCATTCATATGTAATATCTCAAAGCCATTCAGATTCAACATAGATTTCCAAATAGATTCAAACAATAGTGAATTATTTATGATAAAATGTATATAAAATAAAATCGTCCATTTAAACTTATCACTTTCGTAATCCTAACCCACGATCTTTTTCCCAATGAGGTTGAATCTTTGCATCTATTATATCTATTGTTGCTTCTCTCAATTTGGTTCTTTCAATTCCAACCTGTTGAATCTTTTCCATTTGCTCTGTTACATAATCCACTTTTCTTTTAAAATAATCCTTCGCATCGTCAATATTCTTTTTTGCATAATAGCCAGTACCAACATCTACAATCACATTATTCGCCTCTGCCAGTTTTCCAGTCACGTACATAGAACCTGTCAAAGGTACTAATATTTCGTTGCCTGTAAATATACATAAAAGTATATATAGTAAATAATATAAGATTATTACTTTCCCAATTATTTTTGCTCAAAAAACTATAATGCTTATATCTTCAATACAAATTCACGTAAACTTATGCATGCATTAAAAATAGAACATATTTGCTGGCGACAAAAATCAAATAGATAAAAAAATGAGATTTTTTATATAGAAATTAAATTATGTCAGCAAAGAAATTTTCAGAAATTATTGCATCATTTTCAAAACATTATTTTGTTTGTACAATATATATCCACATATTTATTAATCACATTTCCTAACCTCACTAAAAAATCTTACGAGAAACTATCGTAAAGCCACATGCATTTTAAAAAGTGGAATTTATAAGACTCACCTTCAGCAGCCGATGTAATTTTTTCAAGACAAGCACCTGATTCTTGAAATCTGCTTTGCGCAATCTTTAAAGTATGCAAAGAATCTTGAAATACCTCGAGTTCCTTGTCCAATTGTTGTTTAAACATTGTAAGTTGTTGGATGTTCAAATTCGGCAGAGTCGATAGGTTAATCACCTCATAGGGAGGCTTTACTGAAATTTCTTCTGACATCTTGACGGAATTATTGTCTATTCCGAATTCTATTCATATGACGATTCTCTATTCTCTTAATTAATCCTCAAGCTCATCGATACCACCAAACACGGGCAACAATACACTTACTCTTTACCACTTAGTTTGTTAAAATACCGCTGAATGGCGTCACGATATGCACGCGACACTCGTGTCATCTCGCGAGAAAAGAGATAATCATTTAACATTTAGGCTCCACAACTCGAGTTAATCCGAGTTTAATACGTTAAACTGGGTCCTGATTGGTCCATTCACTACTTAAACATTAGTGAGTGTAAAAGTGTAGGTAAAACAAACAAACCTTATGTCTATGTTGCTTACACACTGCTTATTACCAGCGCGAGTTCTGATTGGTTCTAATTAGTTTGGATTAGTTTTCTGCTTTTCTGCCAAGGTGTGGATGCGCCTTGACACTTCAAATTTTTCCTAGGACACTTCGTAATGTTGGGTTTCCTGTCTTTTCTCCTCTAGCTAGGGAATTTCTTATAAAAGATTGGATGACATGACGTAAATAAACGAGGAGAGAAAATCAGATTCAGACTTCTTATTCGAGTTTTTTATCATATATTCAAATTTTTTGTTATATTTGATAATATAAGGCATAATGTATAGAAATACAAAAAATGTTTTCGAAATAATATAGGATCTATAACGTCAAATAATCTGTCTAATCTTGTTTATTTTCGTTGATAACGTAGTTGAAAATAAGATATGTGGCTAGACTGACAGCAGAATTTATTATTAAATTAAGAGTATTGAATCACAAATTTAATATTAATTATTGTATAATATTGTATAATTAATATTATTGTATTAATATTATTGTATAATAACATTATTAAATCAATATATACACAAACCAAGCATGTTAGGCAGATTTAGATAGTCTAGCAACATTTGTATGTATACAATCATATCATATGTCTTTCCGCGACCTTTCTTTCTTTCTTCTCTTTCATCAGTTTTTATATTCTTCGTACTTTTTCTTAAATTCTCATTTTGTATTTAGTAATACACGAATTGTGATACATAGCGGATATCATGTCGACAGAAGATGAACAAATACAAAAAGAGGAAGAAGAAACATTTTTTACATTTGGGATTATTATACAGTTAAAGATGATAGTATAAATAGATCGGTATGCGACATTTGTGGTAAAGTTAAAACAATTAAAATTAATCCGACAGACAGAAACAATATGAAAAGGGGCACCCGATTGACCACGTCGCCAATTGGCCAATTCAAAATAGGACTCTCTGATTGGTTAATCGTTGCTGGTTACCCTAGGCATAGGTCGATATAATTGGCTCAGTGGTCAATCGCAACGTGGTCAAACGGGACGCTCCCTATGAAAAGACATTTAATCACCAAACATGGAAGGATCCATAATTTAATTATCAATAAAAATTACATATATTGGAATATCCATTATAAAAGGGTACAATCCACAACTGATACCATTCTAAGTATAATTATAAAGTGCACATATTGTGATTATGACACAATAATTCGAATATACATAGATAAATCTATGGAAATTCATTTGCAAAAAGAACATAACCTTACGAAAAGAAATTGGAAAGATCTTCAAAACTGACGAGACACGAACCTAATCAAAAAGTATTATAACCTGATTCAGGAAGTTGGAATATCGATCAAAACAACAAAAAAGTGTAAGAAATATAAGTATCAGTTTGGACATAGTAATCTATGCATCATGCTAAAGCATTTTATCCAAGATCATCGATCCGATTTCATCAAACGAAATTTACCTTTGGATATACTACCAAAAGGGTAAGAAAAACGGCAAAATTCAAATTTTATTAATTTACCTATTTTGAATCATTTATATATACCTATTATAATCCTACCTATTATAATCATTTATATATACCTATTATAATTATATATACCTATTATATCATTTATATATACCTATTATATCATTATATATACCTATTATATCATTTATATATACCTATTATATCATTATATATACCTATTATATCATTTATATATACCTATTATAATCCTACCTATTATAATCATTTATATATACCTATTTATATATACCTATTTTGAATCATTTATATATATTGCATGATTATAAGAAGAGAGAATTATGGATATAAAACTATAAAATTTAGATATTTAGCACATATAGTATGTATTTACGATAAATATTTGGTATATATTTTTGAGTCAATTTAGCTTATTGTTAGGTGTTACTGCATAAAAATATTCATTACATATCTATAAAATATATTTAAAATTTATTAGTTTAGTATTTTGATAATTGAGAGAGAGAGAGAGAGGATTTGTGAAACTTTATGTAAATATAAATTGTGAATATAAGTATAAAGAATTTTTTTTTTAATAGTCGACCGAGAATTTTGGTTTTTTGATATAAAATTTTTAAGAATACCCAAGTTTTTTGATAATATTTTAATAATAAAAGTATTTTTTGACATTAAAAAATAATAGTTGGAAAATTTGATGATATATATTATGCATATAATTGAAGCTATATTTTATAGTATTAATTAATGCAATTTTTTATGTTCTAACAGATTAATTGAATCGATTTGTCCCGAAGCTGCATCTGCAATCGATAGCAGCAATCTGCCATCGATATCTGTCTTTCTAAGCATAGCAACCTCGGAGAACCTGCCAGTAAACGCAATAAAATCAGTCATAATGCAAGCAGTGACTAAGATGATTAGTGATATTGCACGGAGCAACATCATAACATCGCTTCAACAGTTACACACGCGAGTTCGATCTCTAGAGTTGATTTCTGATACTGTAGTATCATTATATTGTAATCGAGACACTCGATGTTTACTTGTTAATATCATTGAAAATATTGATAAAAACAATGAAAACAATGAAAAGAATTTTCGAGGGGGGCTTTGGTATTCGCGGTAATGGGGGACTCTATGAATTTCGATTAAATTAGGTTATTCCCGATAATGATCGGTTAATAATTCGACTCCAACTTCTTTCATTAACATCAAAGTTCAGCTCACATGTATTGTGCGTTGTTTGTGTTGTGACTAATGTCATATTATTTTTATATTTATTATATTATTTTTAAATTTATATATATTATTTAATATATAATATATGTATTAAATAATATTAATAAATAATATAAATAATATGTATATATATATATATAAATATAATATTACTTGTATATACATATATATATATATATATATATATATATATATATATACACACATATACATATACATACATACATATATATATATATATATATATATATATATATATATATATATGAGTATATATGTATATATATGTATATATGTATATATATGTATATATGTATATTGTATATATTATTTAATATTATTATTTTCATATTTTTATATTTAACGGCATTAGCGATTTTCTCTAAATAAACACTCTTTAAACATTTCTGTGAAAATCTAGTTTAGAATCGATGATGTCAATGCAATCGTTATGTAATGTCAAATTGAATATACATAGATAAATCTATGCCGAATAGTCGAACGCTGATTCGTTTTTCTTATCCTTTTGGTAGTATATCCAAAGGTAAATTTCGTTTGATGAAATCGGATCGATGATCTTGGATAAAATGCTTTAGCATGATGCATAGATTACTATGTCCAAACTGATACTTACATTTCTTACACTTTTTTGTTGTTTTGATCGATATTCCAACTTCCTGAATCAGGTTATAATACTTTTTGATTAGGTTCGTGTCTCGCCAGTTTTGAAGATCTTTCCAATTTCTTTTCGTAACGTTATGTTCTTTTTGCAAATGAATTTCCATAAATTTATCTATGTATATTCGAATTATTGTGTCATAATCACAATATGTGCACTTTATAATTATACTTAGAATGGTATCAGTTATGGATTGTACCCTTTTATAATGGATGTTCCAATATATGTAATTTTTATTGACAATTGAAATATAGATCCTTCTTTGGTGATTAAATTGTCTTTTCATATTGTTTCTGTCTGTCGGATTAATTTTAATTGTTTTAACTTTACCACAAATGTCGCATACCGATCTATTTATACTATCATCTTTAACTGTATAATAATCCCAAATGTAAAAAATGTTTCTTCTTCCTTTTCTTTGTATTTGTTCATCTTCTGTCGATATGATATCCGCTATGTATCACAATTCGTGTATTAATACAGCGATAGCATTTCGTGCACATAGCACGGAACGAAACCAGAAATTGTGCACATTATATATTACTCTCTGAGAACATTCATGGACATTGGCTTTGTAGTTCATGTCCACGTTTTCAATGTCCATAGAAGAAATATCGCTTTCAGGGATTCACCTAAAAGCGGGCTATGACATCTTCCTCTGCAGATATAATACCGTAACTTGTTTAAAATACTTGTTTAAATTACATTCAAACTACATTTAAATTTTCCAGGTAACACATGTTCCTAAAAAAATGTTTAAAAAACGATTTAAAGGCATCATATTAACTTTTACAATCCTTAAAATCCTTAGATGTTTTTTGTCATTTTTGTGCTATCACCGGGATAATCATAAGATTAAAGATTTCTGATAATATCTAATAACTATTTCCATGATAAATTTATTACTATAATTTATTATTATAAAGTAAATGAATAGAAAATGGTGCAATTATGCATAGAAGAATTATGTAAAATTATTGATATTTTATATTTCATATCGATTTTATATTATGTCGATAATTATTATATTATATATTATGTCGATATCTTATCCTTCTTGAAAATATTGTTGACTATTTTATCTACAGCTGAAGTTTGAATTAAAAGGTTAATAAGAGATCATTATTTTAAACCAGCAAATATGTTTAACGTGTATATATTGATAGATATACATATTAATAATCTTGAATTAATAAATAAAAATATTTTATGTTAAATAAAATAAAATTTTAATGAAATTTATAATATAATTTTTTAACACAAATATTTCTAATTGCATTGACTGTAAAGCGTGACTGTAATACGTATTTGAGATGCTCTTTAATAACATCCAACTGGATTAAATTACATATACGGGCACGAGTTATGTATAGTTTTATAATATCGATATTCTATTTTTTTATCTGATAAATGTTTTTTTCCTTTTTTAAAAAATTATATAGTGAATAATAAAATTTCTTTTCAAAGATGTCGTAATTAAATATACTTGCAAATGAGATTCCAGAGCTTAATTTGTTTGCAATTTTTTATGTCCTCTACGTAGATTGAACTTTAGATCTAAAAAGTAAAATAAATTCAAATGTTTTCTCAAATATATATATTAAACACTCGTTTTATATAATAAATAGGAAATAGGAATGCTTATCTACAAATAAAAAAATTGAGCAAAAGTTTACACAAAATAACCTATAAGGTAAAATACAATAGATTAGAAATGTTTATAATTGAAACGACATTGTTTTATAAAAGTCTCACAAATCAGTCTGTTATTTTAGTTGAACGTATCTAATATGAAGTATAAATATATGTAGGGGAAAGGTGGGTAGTCCCGGACACTTAAATAAAACGCATAAAATAATATATAATCAACAGATTTTAATTAAATTACTCTTTTGCAAAATAAACTTTAAACTTTTTTGATTTCTTATTAACAAAAAGAATAGAACATTTTTCTTAAACTATCTTAGAAAAAAAAATCAATAACTTATTACTGCTATTTTTGAGCAATCAATAAATGGCGGGTAGCCCCGGACATATATTTCAACAATTATTTATTCGTACTTTGTTCTTACAAACGTCACAATAAAAATATATATTTGAAGGATCAATGTCTACGCATTCTTCGTGTGCCCATTCTTTGCATTTATTACATTGGATCCAGTCTTCTTCGAAAGTTTCTCCGCAAGCAATGCATTGAGTGTCTTGATGTTCGTCTTGATGAAAAAGATTTTGATTGTTTTGTTTTGTTTTGTGTTGTTTAGTAATATCTTTAACATCTTTAGTATCTTTAGTATCTTTACTTTTTGCAACAAGTTCATCTATGTATGAAAACGATGTTAAAATTTCACTTTTCTGTGTTTTTCGTGAACGAGACGTAATGAGAATGAGATGTAATACATTCATATTATTTAGTACATTAAAATAGTATAAACTGATAATTACAACAATAAAATGTATTATTTTTATAATTTAAAGTTAATTAATATGTCCGGAGTTACCCGCTGTCCGGGACTACCTGTTTCCCCTAGCGCAATAGTAATTTTTGTAGCATCATAAATAAACAATTTAAATAATAAGCAATACATATAAACAATTAATATAAATTGATATACAATATTTTTTTGATTTATTTTATTTATTTATAAAAATTTATATGTATATAATCAAGAAGATTGATATATATATATATATATATATAATCAACAAAAAAATGAGCAATTAAAAATATATTGTTTAAAGTTTATTTTTGCAACAATTTTTGCGTATTTCAAATAAAGAAAATTATATTAACCAAAAAAAATATTAAAAACCTAGTTTTCAGAATCATATTTTATGAAACAAATCTTTTGTTCGAATTTGCCAAAATCAATAAAGATGAAATACAAATGTTGCATAAATATTATAAATAATGTAAAAATAAATATTTATATTAAATTGCAAAAAATACTAAATTCTCTTACCTTTTTAAATTATTCAAAATTAAGTAAAAATAAGAGTTAGATTTTATGTAATTTGCAAACAATACGCATCAATTCAAACTGAAATTAGAAGTAAATAAGATATAATTGTAGAGAGTTTCTTGTGTGCATTTAAATATAAATGCGCACAATAATAATTTATAGCCCTTGCTATATAAATTATTATTTAATGCAATTAAAAGAGAAGTGAAATGCGTTACGACATTTTTAGCGAAATTGGATTTATAGCGGCAATAATTTTTCCCATCAGTGTAATTAAAACGTATGATAAAAATATCTCAGCTTGCAAATGAATAGTGATAAAACGCATATTCTTATTTTTTAAAAATAAACTTCTTCTTTCATGTTTTATATGTATCTCCTAATTTTATTTTAATTTAATTCGATAATAAAAACATAATAAAAAAAAATTCGATAATAAAAACATAATAAAGGAGAATTTGCTTAGTTTACATTCTTTAATTAGAATTTTAATGAGATTGAAGAAGCTAAAATATAATTGTAGATATACGAATTTTGATAATGTATAATGTATAATGTTATAATATATTTTTTACTGTATATATGAATGAGTATATAATAGATACTCGAATACTCCACATCGATCATCTTGAAACTGAAAAATAACTGATTGATATTTTAATATAATTAAAATATGTAGAAGAAAAATGATGCTCACATGAAACTGTAAAGTGAAAATTTAGATGCATAATTTTAGGGAAATGTAATATTTTAGTACTATACGCTTTATAATTTTGTATGCTTTTTAACATTTTATCAATATAGTATTTTAGTACAAGTTTCACTTTCTTATTATATTAATAATATTTATAATAATAATTGCAAGTTTCGAAATTTTCGATATATAACATTGAATAATATTTTGTAAAAATGGTATTATTATACTCATTACTTAATGAATGTTAATGAAAATATAATATCAATATTTGCATATAGTAGAATTATTTCAAGTTATTTCAAATAGACAATCACTTAAATTTGTATTTTATTATTTTTTTTATTTATCTATAATAAGACATATATTATAAAGGTGAAACAGATAAACAGATAAAAATTGACTGTGTGGAATAAAATACACACATACATTAAATTAAAATAATTATAAAGTCAAGTAAAGAAATTATTTATATTTAATAATAATATAGCGAAATATTGAAAACGAATTAACGAATTACCAATTGTGTTTCTGTTATTGATTATAATATAAATAAATATCAAATTAAATAGTTTTCCCAAATAAGTATCAAAATAGATCCAAGCTTTCAGCGATTAATAAAATAAGATTTTTATAATTGTATCATGCATTCTCAAAATCTATGAAAAATACTGCGACATGATAAA